AGATTGAGCTATCTGTCTACTTGCAGTAGAAAGAAAAAAGCATGACTTTTAGGAAGAATAATGTACATTTAACCTGTAGAGATTTGGGAACTGAAAGCTAGGGTTAGGAGCATGAAGTCATGATTAATAAACAATTAATAATAGGAAAGGATAAGCCATATGTTCTGTGATTTGGTTATATTCATATTAGTAACAGTCGGACTTGTTATAATTTTGTTCTTTCTAGATACTAGGCGGTCCGTAATAAAGTGCCTCATTGGTGGGCGGGAGTTCAAGGAAATGTTGAAGCTCTTTGGAGTCTAGAAATAGGGTTATTAGCCTTTTGAATCTGATAAACGTATCACAATTACGGATAGGCATTGGCAGCCTGTTCCACAATAAACTGTACCGTACTGTAAAGAACTTACAACGCATTTGTTTTTGGTGTTTTACGGTAAGTAGTGTATATGCGTTGTTTCTAAGTCTATAGGCTGGGTCGTGGGTAATAGTCGGGCAGGAGGTTAGAAAGGAGAGCCCATATATCGCTTTGTAGAGAAATATTAAATTGTTTTTTAGCCTACGGTGCCATAAGGGTTCTAAAGATAGATGCTTACATCTGTCTGTGTAATCAAGATTCCAGTTGCATCCTAGTAGTTGACGTGTGAAACGTCTTTGAACATCTTCTACTCTTGTCTTGTCTGTGATATTCATATTAGAGAATACAAAAGAGCAGTATTCAAGGGAGGGTCTTACACATATTTTGTAGAGAGTAAGTTTACCCTCTGTTGTGAAAAAGTTTCTCATTATAAAGCCAATTAGCCGTCTAGATTTAGAAATAATAGAGGAGGCATGTTCTTCAAAGTTCAGGCTTCCTGTGTAATTAATTCCTAAATCGCGTACTGATTCGAGTGTTTGGACTCTACTTTCATTTAAGTGAAGTTGCGGTTTATAGGGATGCTTTCCAAAGTGCATGATCCCGCACTTGTTGAGGTTTAATGGTAATTGCCATTTTTCACTCCATATAGTTAAGTTATTGAGGTCCTTTTGGATCTGGGATACACTTTCGCTTAGTGTCTCAGGCTTATAGCTGTATACTATTTTGAGATCATCAGCATATAAGTATGGTCTTCCAAATTCTATGGTGTTACATATATCGTTTATATACATAAGAAACAAAAGTGGACCTAATACGCTTCCCTGGATGACTCCACTGGTGATTGGCCTAGGGGACGAGAGACAGTCATTGTACTTTACCATCTGTTTACGTTCTGTTAAGAACGAAGCAAACCATGAGTACAGTGGGTTGTGTATTCCGAAGGACTTTAGTTTGACGAGTAGCCTTTTGTGTGGGACCTTATCAAAGGCTTTCTTAAAGTCTAGGAATAGAACTGATACAAGGAGTCCGCTGTCTCGTTTCATAGTTATATCATTCAGGTAGTCTACTAGGCATGTATCGCATGATCTGGACCTAAGAAATCCATGCTGGGAGGTCGAGATGAGATTATTAGTTATTAGATGTTGGACTACAGCTGCCTTAACTACTTTTTCCATCACTCTGGATACCACTGAAGTTATGTTTATAGGCCGGTAATTTTCAACGTTTGCTTCAGGTCCTGTTTTAATTTTGGGAATGATATGTGTAGTTTTCCAGGCAGTGGGGTAACACGCTGAAGAGAGTGATATCGCGAATAGTTTGAGAAGCAAAACACACATATCATCACCTCCACGTTTTAGCATGCTAGATGGAATACCATCTGGTCCATCAGTGTATGAGTGTTTCAATGTACTGATTGCCTTGGAAATATTTTGTACACTGAATTCTACATTAGTAATTTCACAGGGAGGTACTGGAATTGGTTCTGAATCATTAAATGGTTTTTCGTTAGTTAGTGAGAAACAAAAATGTTCACTAAATAATTCTGTGACAAGTTTAGGATCTTCGTATACTTGTTTGCCTTTAATGAATATACTCCCTCTCGATTTGGAGCGTTTAAGTTTATTTTGGAGTAGTATGGTGAGTGCAGAGGAGTTATCATTAAGTTCAACTGCACGTTTTTCCTGTGCTACTGCTTTTTGTTTACTTATTGCCTCTGTTCGGACAAGTATTTCTGTCATCGTTACTAAAGAGGAAAAGTCATTTAAGTTGTGGAATTGAGTACAATGTCTTTGAAGACGTCTTCTTGTACTGACCGGTATATAGAGATCTTTGGAAAACGCAGGTTTACTGTATTCTAAAGGTGCGATGTTGTTGATGATACTTTTGATGTTGTGATAAAATATATTGGTTAATGTGTAGTGGCATTGGACCATAACCACACAATCCTCAAAGCTGAATACGAGAATATAAATTAGGCAGTCATATCATGACAAATCTACAAATTTAGGATTAGGTCTATTATTAGAGCAGTACTAATATCATAGTAGACCATAAGTTCTACATTGGTAAGCCCGACTAAAGAAACGCAACCTATTATTGTTAATCCTTATTTCCACCTTAACCTTCTCAATCGGTTTTTATTTTTGGAAACCCAGTATTCTAATAGTCCTTTGATTAATGGTCACATATATTATCGTAATGTTATATCTATTAGTTCACATAACTTACTAGCTCAATCGATAATAAAAGTTGATCATCTATATCAACTATTTAACTTTGATGGTTCGTTAACAAGCTTTAATAGCATTTACCTGCTTCAGCGACATAAACTTGTTTAAACATCAAGCTCTAGCAAATATGACCTGTAAATAGCGTAAATATACATTGGCTAACAATGCAATCAAGGATTGAATAGTTATCTGGATCTAATTCTTAGTGTTTCTTCGCTTAACACATCCTGTTTTAAACTATGCACTATCCTTTTCTTCCGACCACTGCCTGCCTAATTTCATATTCTCGAGTTCCATTGCCAAACAACAAGGATGACATTTCTCTAAAAACATACGGTGAGTTTCAGCCATAAGTTTCCTGCAATCATAAGGTCATTTTAGATGGCTCGTTCAATGGCTGACACAATTATCTGGATTCATTCGATTGTTTTGATCTGAGCGAGTGGCAACAGCATCAAGCAACCTGGAATTAATTGCCATACTGCATGTTTTTTATTGTGGATACTTTTGGATCATTACTCCTCACGAATGGCGTTATATATGTCGTCCACTGAATAATCTAATTTTCAAAAATAATCCAGGCGAGTTCAACTATTTTACTGGATGATTTTTCTGTACTTAACATGTATATGTTTTCCAGTTGCGTTTGCCACATATTTATAAGTATCTTTAGGCTAAATGCAGTAACTTCTTATAGAATGTTTATAACGCATCATATTCCTGCCTGAAGTTTCACAAGCCGTCTAAACTTTAAAATTACTTGTCTGGTCATGTTCATTATTTTTAAATCGTCATATACGTCAACAACCTGCATGTTAGCCTGGTTCATACATACGTTACACTATATCTCCATGTCTTCTAAATTTAGAAATCATCTGGATCGCCTCTAACATTTATTAATAAACCTATCATAGTCGTTGTTGCTAATCGTATTTGGATTTATGGATTGGTTTATCATATTAGCAGTCTAAAATGCAAACATAATTTAGATAATAAGATTAAAAATTTAGGTACTATCAACTGCACTAGTAAAATTACTAAATCCTTAGGTAGTTGTTGGTTGAACAAACTTTTAAAATCTAAACTCCGTAGCCTACTAGAATTAACATTAAACAAATATTTCTGAATTGAAATTTATAATTAAATTAGGCGTCTCGGATTCTTTAACGTTAGGAATTTCTGATAATTTTGAATCACCTAAAACAACAATGCCTATTTTTCCACTGGCCAATCTTCAATCAACACTATAACTAATTAAACATAATAGTTTCAGGATATCTTCATAAAGCATTGTCATGACTTGACAATCACGTAATATGATTGATAAAATTAATGAAACTATTAACAAAATCGGTCAGCAAATTGACTTATAATTATCACTAGTGTTGTTTTTCTTCATTCACTACGGATGATTACAGTATGTTTCTCTATCAGTTGCTCATTCAGTAAATATCTCGAAACTTTGTCAGTATAATTGATGGTTTAGCGACACAATCATGCATGCAAATAATCAGTATAAGCAGTCGAGCAAATATCCTGCAAACTGAAAACATCAATGTCGAATTTACCCCAACACTGACTAAGGTTCAAGCTATTATCATAGGCATGAGTTGGGAGTGCACTCCCCTTGGTTACAACTTATGTCCTCCCTGATAATCACATGAGCATCACTCACTATTTAATCATCTTGTAAAAACTTATTTAGCCAAATACATCCTGCAGCACTACATCACTTAGTAATATGACACATAGGTTTAACTAATTTCAATAACGTATAACCATTATATCTCAATTAAATCGTATTTCGCCTTATGATAAACTGCGTATTTGCAACTAACTTGTATGTATCATCAGCCGGCAAGTATAAATATAAATAAATAGTCTGTCGCAGATCAGAACATTGAGTCTAGAGCATGTCTCTTACGAATACACTCATGTTTAACGATTTGTTTCTAGTTATCTGTCCAAAATTCACATAATTATCACTCACGTATTTAAATTTTGTTTTGATAACCATTCATTTGTATTAGTAGTAATACTAAATTCTATCACGGTCAGGTAAACATAGGGTTGAGAAAATCTCCCCGTAACTAAATAAACCGTATCAAACTAACTGGAACACTAGTTGGAATTCTTCTCCACGGTAATACTTTTGTTCCTTCAGTTAGCCTACTAATACAGATGCAATTGGAAATCGACTCATATGGACAACTTACCGGCATAATCGTTATTTGATTTCATAAGTTAGACTAAAAGTAGTACTAATATTAACATTTCTACAATATTCATAACTTTAATATTTCTAAACACAAAATACTTACTACCTATACGTTAAGTTATTAACCAACGACTATTAACACGCATCGTTTTATTATTATTATTATTATTATTATTATAATCCCATTTTTTTATAGCTCAAATAATCACTCAAATTTTTATTGTAAGCATGAAGGCAAATATTTTAAAATTATTACATGTATTTCCCGACCAGATGCTGCCGTCTTCTTTTTGATTTATCTTTCAGCTTGTCATCACCCGGAGGATTATTACTAGTCTTGGTAACCTTCGGGACACTACAGTCCCATCCAATTTGGTATCGAACCAACACCACGTTGATTCTGGTGGGAGAGTAGTGTAGTGGCATTGGACCATAACCACACAATCCTCAAAGCTGAATACGAGATTACTCAGAAAATAGATATTCAATATTTAACGCGAAGAAATACCTAACGATGGAGAAGGCGCGACTAATGAATTGAATGGACTAGAGTTGATCGAACGGCATGGCTCGGCCGTGCAGGCGTGGTCTCTGCTGAATGTTACCTTATATCTTCTTTTCATATTAAATATATTGTTCTTTCTCTAACCTGACCTTGTTCTACATCATGTATTGGTAATTGATACGATACAGTGAGTTGATGTAGTCGATGGTGTGACTTCCACGTAAGATCTTATAGATTAGGCAGTCATATCATGACAAATCTACAAATTTAGGATTAGGTCTATTATTAGAGCAGTACTAATATCATAGTAGACCATAAGTTCTACAAATGTGTCGGTATTGTTTGAGGTAAAGAAAGTTCCCCAATCAGTGCTTCTTAGGTAATTGTGGAAGTTATTCCAATCAACCTTGCGATAGTTTCTACGCAGTGTTACGGTTTTGCTTCTATTGGTTGTGGTTTTTACATTAAGGCTGCATATGACAATGTTATGATCACTACCTGGGAACTTTTTTCCAATATACAAAGTATTGGGGATGAGGCCACTGGTAAAGACTAAGTTCAAGATGTTTTGATGTCTGGTAGGGCTATCGACATACTGAGTCCATTGTCCGAGCTCGAGACATTCAATAAATGATTCATAACGTCTCGGCGCTTTGACTGGCAGCCAAGAAATTTCGGGCATATTGAAGTCACCACAAATGAGCTTGCCTGTGAATGAGAGGGATGATGCTAGTGTGAATACCTCCGATAATACTGCTATATCATCTATTGATGCGTTAGGTTGACGATAAACACAACCGAGCAGTAAGGTAACGGAATTCGACAGCTTTAATACAATCCACACCGAATCCTTCAGTTTGTTTAGTTCAGGCATATCACATAGTAGTGAGTTTAGGCTAGAGTGAGCGTAAATAAGGCATCCTCCGCCTCGTCCATTCAATCTGTCACTTCTATACAGGAAATAGTTATCAAAAGATATACTTTGGTCGGAAATATTACTGTTAGTCCATGCTTCAGATATCATAATAACTGATGGTTGATATATGGATACAAACAGGGCTAAATCCGTCTTTTTGTTGCAGATCGACCGAGCGTTGATAAGACATATATTAAGCAAGTGGCCTACTAAGTTAAAATGGTTGAGAGTATCTCGGATAAAGTCGTCGTAACCCTCGCGGGTGTGAGACGAGTTTGAAATGATGGATTGAATGTTCTTCATTAGCTCGGTATTTTGATAGCTAGATTTAGTGGGAGATGTATCAAATGAGCTAGTGAAGTTGATTGGGGAGTTTACCCAGGAGGAAAGGGTGGGAGTACTCTGTGATGGAAACTGTACGGAGGAAACAAATTTATGGTTTGCATGTGGTTTGAAATAACCTGGGCTATATGCTTCAACAGAGGTGTCACTAGGGGTCTTATTCCAAAAAAATCTTGTACAGGCCTACTGTGAAGTGTATGGTTATTTACAAAATAGTCTTGATGGTTAGACTCGTAGCCTCTGTTATGGCTATTTACGTTAGCGTGAGAGGGGTCTGCTACGCGTAACTGGGAGGAGTTGCGACTGTTGATATACGTGGGAGCCGTTGTTATGTGAGGGGTCGGTAGTAAAGGGTATGACAAGTTTTCTTTCTTAACACTTCACCCCCTATATACACACCCTTCTAATGAACCGCTTTCCTTGTACCAGCCTTGACTTCCTTTCCTTCATGTGAGCTTACCACAACTCGTTAAACGACACAACTAATAATAATAATATATTTCGGCATGTGCAACTCATTGTTCTTTATTACTACATTCTCTAATATGGAGCCTCTGACTTCATTTCACTATAACAGGAGATAATATCAATTTATTCTAATTTATTATACCTCTGTCTGTTCCACTACACAATGTTAAGCAACGTTTGGCGTTCATATCCTAGTGCCTTGCTGCTCTTCTGTCTCTTTTTTTTCCTTCAGAAATTCGCTCTGAGGGCACAGCTAATAAAATTCCGACGTCTGGAACAAACTTAACGTGCGCGTCCCCTCAAGGTCACAGTTTACAGCAAACGCTCTAGGGGTATACTTTATATCAACTATAAACTCAATAAGTTGCGAAGCATTTTTTGAACCAACAAATGTTATAATTTATAGATCATGCCTGTAAAAAATGGCGTGTACCTGTGCATGCAGAAATATATATTATTATAAAACCTTATAACGTTATTTTTAATAATTCAAAATGCTCCCGAAGGCATTTCGTAAGTAAAGGCAACACATTATTTGTCCTGGTTTGATTATCACCAATCGCTATTTATAAACTATAAATGTATTTCCGTTTGCAGAAACCCAGTTTGCAGATTAAATCCCAAATAGTAAAGATCTTTCCACCTATACTCAAACAAACACATTTCGTTGGCGAATCTGTACTCAAAATCACGTTCCAAGATAGATTCTGAAAGACAAGAGTATTATGAATGAAATTCGACTGGTCTAGGGTTCTTGGCAATGTTATTTTTCTCTTAAAAACCATTGAAGTGCCGTTGTTTGCATTCAAATGTACATTGTAAGTATCACATGGAGGCACATCATTAAAAACGAAGGTACTACTGATTAAAGAACAAGCTGCGCCAAAATCTAGCAAGATAATATCTGGACGATAATACAACTCTCCACATAACACTGGACCAAAGGGTTTACAATCACTACATGAAACAAATGGAACATGTATCGAAACTGCCCTCAGATTCTTCTTGAACCACCTAGCATGCCCGCCGTTGAGTTTGCAGCGTGAATATCTAATAAATCTTGAGGGGAAGATTACCTACTGTGCATTTCTCACGTATTCATTTCTCCGGGAAACTCTTGTAATATTGTGTTAGTTCAATTCTTCAAAACATGAGATCACGGATACCTGCTCTTTCAAAGTAATTTCCTCATGAGCAGCTTTAAGGCTTTTATAGGTTTAATTTATCAACTTTCGTAGTAATTTCAACTTCGTGCCGTCGATAAGTTGACTGAATACAAACTCTTCGAGTTTTTATTGCAAATAATCTGAGAATGATGTTGTTACTAGTTTTTGAAGACGTCCGATGAAGGCAGATGACTTTTCTCCCTCTTCTTGCTGAACACAATAAAAATTTCCTCAGCAAGATAGGATGCTTCGAAGGTACGAATACTGTTTCACCTTCAGTAAAGACTATTTACGTTTCTTGTAGGTAGAATCTTAATACACGATAATCTTAATTCTTTCTATACTTTGCTAGAAAGAAGGGTTTCTGACATTCAAATATGTCGGTTGCTGGGAAGATTAGTTGGGTGTTGCCGAAATTATAGTTTCCATAAGGAAAACAATAATTTTCAGCGGTTGGATTTTTGGTTCAGCTGGCTGTCGATGTCTTAGCACCGATATTATTTCACATAATTACTGTTCCATAGTACCAGTCTTTCACTTCGATATTACATTGAGATTTGACATTTAGATCCGCTACTTTTGATCTAGGCGTACTGAGATTTCAAGGCCTTTCTTACGGCTTTTCTGGACATTTAAGAATCGAATTGTTCAGTTGTCTAGAATTGCCGTTGAATTAAATCCTCCGGCAAGATATGTATAGATTCTCGGCTCATTCAGCTTCTAAATAACTGTAACTGCTCAAATAAATGTAGTGATCCAACCAACCAATCAATAATTCTTAGTCAAAGGTCATTCCTGTCTTATCTCGTCAGTAGTGTTACACTCACCAAAACTTTTTGTTTGACTGCACTAGGGTTTGGATTTTTCTACACGTTTTGTGTGTTAACTTTGATCTGGGACTAGGTGAACCATATTTTCATATTTCAAAATCTTCTCAGATTGACACCTTATCATTTGAATTTTGTTAGGATTTGTCTGGATCATTAAGTGCCGCTGTCGAACGACACTGGATCATTGATAGTAAAGGTCTTGTTTATGTAAACTCAAGGTTGCTGTGGACAGCAGTTATTTGTCACCACCATTCGATTGCCTGTCTCAATTTTTTGTTGTTCCTTTTGATTCCCTCAGATAGAAGCCTCTCCTTCTGTAGCTCTCCCAAGGTTACTGATGGCATTAAGCTCGGATAGAGGAAGAGGGTTGTACATGGATTTCAGCAACCCCATCCCATAGGAGATACCCTTGCTTAAAGACGCTAACCAGAAAGAGCAATTAGAACCACTATAGGAGCCTTCATTCAGAAAAATTGTTATGCCTCATGGTGAAAGCTAAAATCCATCGGACGGCACGAGCGAATGTTCCTTCTAATAACCATAACAACAATTATTACAGATACGTGGAATGTCCGGAAAGTCTAAGAGACCAGGAGGACTAGTCAATTAGCCATGAAAATGAGGAGATACAGCTTGACGGTGATCGGAATCAGTGGAAGCCAAGCTGAACAGAAATGTTAGATTTGGGAGAGTTGCTGGTTATCAAGGAGAAAATACCTTCCATACAAAAAAGTTACAGTGATGTTGTCCAAAGAAGAATGAAAAGCACTTTTAGGATGGGGATCTCATGGATTCAGAATCCTTAAAGTATCCTTCAAAATAAAGGGGTAGGGAACCTTATTGAGTTTAATCAATGTCATGCGTCCACCAGTGATGACAATCAGGATAATAAATATCAGTTTTATGGAAGGCTGCAGTCGATCGTAGAGAAGCGGCTAGGAAAGGACCTAACCTGATGAGAGGCCCGAGCTTCAAAGTCGGAGTAGACAGCATCGTGTATCGAGATGTCTTGAGACAACATGGACTGGTAGAAAGAAAGAAGAATGGTGAAAGATTTGCATTTCTGTATGTATCCAACAAAATGGTCATAGTTGGAACTATATTCCCCACAAACGTACAAATATAGCAGATCGTATTTCAATGGACCACATCACAGAGAACCAGATCAAACTCATTTGCATCACTAAAAAAATCAGAAGGTCTTTGGAATATGTGTGAACCAGGAGAGGAGCTTCAGACCACTACCTGGCTGTTGCCATATAAAACTGAAGCCAAAGAAGCATTGGACGACCGAACAAACAGCATTACAAAGGTTCAATACAGCCTTCCTAATATATACTGACGAAGTCAACCAATTTGATATAGCTCTGAACAACAGGTTCGAAGCCTTACGTGATCTATTAAAATAAGGGGAAACTACTATGGACGACAACAGGAAAGAGATCAAAGAAGCATTAACTTCAGCGTGTTGGGATGTTCTGGGTTGCAACGACCATCATCATGGGGACTGAATCTTTATGGAGACCCTGGACAAGATCCAAGAAAGGAAGAATAAGAAGACAGAAACCAATGACAAACGAATGATAGCAGAAAAAGTCAAGGCACCGACTGTCGGAGTATGTGACGACTATCATCAAACGGTAAGCGGATATTTGTTGGCCAGATCGACTTTTGAAACTTCTGAAGTCTAATCCTTGGACTATGTTGCTTATTATTTGTGATGTGTCTGAAACTCATTAGGTTCTGGAACAAAGGTTAGATGGATGAAAGAGCCCTTATGCTTTTAGGACCCAAGTAGGACGGATTCCTTTGGATTCAGCAGGTTACAAAAAACATGATAAGAGATTTGTAAACAATATTCCACAAACTTAAGACCCTCTAGAGCAGCCAGGTCATATATATATTACATTTTGTTTGTATCAGGCTCTTTATGATTGAGAGAAAGTCAATTAATCTGTGATATTAAGGTTGTTCCCCTACACTCACCATTCAGAATCATGTTTCCAACTTTATGCTGGATTAGCTATTCTACTAAGACAACCTATAACGTGCTAACTTGGACTTTTACACTAGGACTGCGTGTCAGGTATCGAATGAACAAAAATAAAAGAGAAAAATCAGACAATAAAATATATAGTTATCAGTTTTGTTAACACTTCACTCTCTATATACACTTTCCGTTCTAATAAACAGCCTTCCTTATTTCAACCTTGACTTCTCTTCCTTCATTTGAACTTACTCCACCTTAGTAAATATCACAACTCATTGTTCTTTATTACTGCATTCTCTCATCTGGAGCCTCTGTTCACATTTCACTCTAGCAATGATAATACGATTCTTGCTAAAACCATCTACATTCATATCTTATAAAGTATCAACCAAGCTGAGTAATTTACTACGGCGAAAATTGTGTCTTCTGTAACAGTTTGATCTTGCCTGTAAACTGGCATGCCTCATGTAACAAACTATTATTTGAGAATAAATTATTATTATTATATTATGTTATTCAGTTTCCCTGTCAGAGCTTTAGTTATTCCGTAATGGTCAAAGATGTACCTCTTATTACAAAACTTGCAGTTGCATGTTGCCAGACCACTGAAAACAAAATCGTTTTGGACTAAAATCATGGTCACAGCGTGGTTCAGTGTATGACGTTTAATCTCTGACTGTCTGCTTGGAAAATTCGCCGAGATCTTTGCAGGTAGATAACTGATCTCGTCTTCTTGTGAGTATTTTTATTGATTCTCAGGTATCAAACTCTTGTTTATCAACTATTCTTGTCGTTGTTTGGCACGTAAGTTTGCGTTAGGCAAACCCTGGACTGCGTAGCACGGACTGCACCGTTTAATATACTTTGTGCTGATGATATATTCTATAGGCTTTAACAAATTAGAGCCATTTAAATTTAACGTTTGTGTTTTGTTATAGTTTAATACGAGTAACTCAAAAACGTTTTGCATGCTATACAGGAGACCTTATTCTCGACTAATCGAATAAATTTTGGTTCGTTAGTTCTGCGTTCAAACGAATATTAACATTTAAGTGGTTACAGCTATGTCAATAATCACGAGCTCAAAATTACTAAAATGCTTGGTAAGTGCAGCAATCTATTCTTCGTAAGCCAAATGTTGAATCATTAAAAATGCAAACTGATGCACCTCCAGCTCAAATGTGTACTGCATAAGTACTAAATATCATATTGTTAATTGTCATGGTACGATGAATCAGTGTAGACAATGACGTGACTTCCACACAAGATCTTATAGAGTAGGCAGTCACATAATGACAGATCTACAATTTTGGGATTAGGTTTATTATCAAAGTGGTATTAATACCGAACTAGATCATAATTCTGTAAACACTTAGAACGACCAGGATTCTAGTACAATGATGCCGACCTACTGTGCAACGTGAATGCTATGCGACTTTTGAAAAATATGATAAAAGCCACAATCATAGTGCAGTACTAAAATCATAAACTGAACTATCAACATCTGCACTAATATACTGCCTTTTATTGGTGTCATTTACTTACCAACCCTACTTGAGTAACATCTTATATACAAACCAACGCTACAAATTATTGATAGTGCCTGTAAAAATGGCGTGTGCTTGATCTGACAGAAATGCATATTATGAGTATAAGCGCAAACTTAAATAATTGTTTGTTATACAAACAATAGCAATATTTATTGTCCTATTGCAAAATTTGGAATTCGAGAAATTCTGGTTTATCTGTCCCATTAGCTTTTGCCTGTATTTGGTACCTAACTGCACGATCTTTGGGGTTGAGTACAATTACTGAAAAGATTTACATTTGACACGTATCACTAACAGTAAGTAAAAAGTGGTGAACTCGGGAGGGAAGAAAGGAAGTCAAGTAGCTGGATCATACAGGCGTGGTCACATAACCTCTTGCTTATTGTATCAAGCATATTACACTCTACGCAGCTCAAGTGTGTTCTTCGGAAACGTTAGAAGTCAAATTAGTGATCGTCACGATAGGAATGATGTGATTTGCTTGTAACATGGGACTAGACAGTGTGTCCCAAAGAGGTGCACAACATGGTGCTTGGATTGAAGTAATATTCGTACATACCACAAACGTAAAAGAGCCTAAAATCACAAAATAAAGAACAGCGGCGTTACTGACCAGCAAACATGACGACGGAGAGACAATTTTGATCTACCCATGTTCGTAGGGCCGGGACAGTTATTTAACTTACGGCTCCTTGTAGTCTAGCGGGATATAAGGTAGCAACCTGAGTAACTTACTGCAGTAGAGCGTGTATCATCTGTAACAATATGGTCTTGCCTGTAACATAATGTTATTTGAGAGTAAAGTACTGTTGTTATTTTCATTATTCACTCCAACTGCTGTCACCGCTCAACTATTCACTGTTTCGTGGTTAGGTTATTTCGATATTTTAGTACCCTCAGAAAGCAGAAGAAATGTTAACAGAAGGGTCTACCTGGGTTAATCGAATAAAGAGGAGTATCATACAGGAGATTATTGAGTTGCCGGGCATATTAAAACCATGCGACTGTCCAGACAATTGTCAGTTTATGGTTGTGGAGATTATTCACTTATTGATTGAGATCTCGAACCGATTGATGTTAGACCATCAATGGAAACCTGGAAGCACTAGACGACCGTTTCGTCCTATTACGAGGCACCTCAACAGTGCTCAACCACGACCGCGCTCACGGGCTTCGAACACGGAGCCTTAAGTCTCACGCGCGAACGCCAAACCTCTAAACCTCTGGGCTGTCATCCAACGGTGTTAATGTCTAACCTCAACCAATCCGGATGTTTGTTTTATGCTGTGTTGTATCAGAGAATCTTGCTCTTCCCTTTGTGTACGTTGAGATCTACTGCTGCTGAGGCTGCTGCTACATCGGTCATCTTCTGCATTTGTTGTTGCGTGGTAGAAAGGAGATCTAGATGATCTGCTAAGTCTATATCGTCCAGCTGCATCCTAGCTGTCCACTGTATCCCATGCTTATACTCACATGTTGACGTCTTCATGATCCAGTCGATCACCAGGAGAAAGAGAAAGGGTGAGAGTAAACGACCTTCCCTGACACCGGTCTTCACCTCGAACGAGTCTGTGATCGGTCCTCTATGCACGATTTTGCAGTTTAATCCATCACAAGAATTCCGTATGATATTGACTATCTTCTCAGGCACGCCGTAGTGTCGCAGAAGCCTCCATAGTGTTATCCTGTTTACGCTATCAAATGCTTTTTCGTAGTCAATGAAGTTGATGTAGAGTGATGAATTCCATTCAATCGATTGTTGCACTAAGGTCCGTAAACTTACGATTTGGTCTTTACACAATTGATCCTTGCGGAATCCAGTATGTTGGTCTCGGCGACTCGATGATAGTTTTCAAATTGCTTAGCGATAAATTTAAACTTGATATACCTTCATTTTTTTCCTAAACAGAGAATTTACGAGGACACTACAAAAAAAGTTGACAAGCCCAGAACAAATTATTTGTCAACTGACTATAGAATTTTCAATCGAATCACCAACGAGCGAAGTTAATTAACTCAGTATGTGGTTGGGGATCCGTCCCTTTACTCTTTCAAAAGAAAGCTGCAACAACTGAGAGATCATCATTTCCAGGACTAACACAGACCATCAAGCATCCTGTCCTTTCCAAGCTGAAACTGGTGAAGTTGTCACAGGTATTTGGAGTTCGATAACGCTTTAATCAGTAACACCTTCTAATATTAAGCGTACCCACCAAGTAAAATCAAAAGACAGAAGCGAGGAGGTTCGAAGATAGATATGATAGGCTATCAATATATCGAGGATCGACTGATCTAATCTGGCTAGCGATTGCAGGGGATGTTGAGCGCGGCGTTTTCATTCGTGATTTGATGCGTTTGCATGACTGACCGCCTTCAGCTGGGTCAGTCCATTGAAACGAATGTGATCAGCATCGAATGTCGAAGACTTATAGGGCTATTGATTTTGGGGATTTATTTATCTCTACATAATTAACATACAAATACCCGAAAACTATAATGTGACACAGTAAGGTGAACTACAGGCACACTTCCTAATCGTCGCGCGTAGCCAAGTCTTGGGCCTTTGTATCGGTGGATGTGGTTTAAAAAGCAAACCTTAAAACACTAGAGATTTGATGGATCCTAGGTGCTCGTAAAACAGTTTCATACTAATTTGCCAGTATCTCCGTCCGTTGCATATATCTAGACCCCTACATGGAAGAGTCGGTGACCTACTACTACCAGATATGACAGATTGTCAGGTGAAGGCTTCTTCTGTTCGAGGGTTATTGATTTTGGGGATTTATTTTCCGCCACACTAAAACTGAAATGTTGGGATTCACTGCTGGCTGAGCTAGTCCAAGCGACTTCCAAAGAGTCCTTATAAAGAAACCTTGAAATATTCTTATGGGTGAAGGACATATCCAACTATTATTAATAATTCTTTTTTCTTTTTTATCATTAATATACATAGGTTCTTACCTGGCTACATCGGTGATCCACTGCCCCTAAATACGGAAGCCTGTTAAGCGAAAGATTCTTATATTACATCCAGGACCGTTTGAACAATTTAAAAATATTTGTAACAGGTTGCCGGTCGTGCCGAGCTAAGTTTGATGTTTGAATCTTAAGTTATCGGATATTGGAACTAACTTAACAAGTGTGCTACAGCAGATTAGTCATGACTGTTGCTGTTCCGGGCGAAAGTGCTAGAGAGAAAGCACTAAGTTACTACAGACGTAAACTTGTGGAACATAGAGGAATAGATGCAAGGCTCAAGGAAGGTAATAATTCCACCCCGTTATCACTCATAAACTAGCTCGAGAAAAATCCAAAGCTATTTCGAAAGAGTACGACAAAGCAGAGAATGATTTGAAAGCGCTCCAAAGTGTTGGTCAGGTATTTTATCTTGTTTTGCATTTAATCCGTGTTTGAAGATAGTAGGTGATGTTTTGAAGCAGCTGACTGATGATCACTGTAAGTTGCTTTCTGCTCTATATAGCTGCTGAACTCAATCTCCCCATTTTGAGGAAATTCCGTGGAAGCCGCTGTAAAAAATACTGGAGAAGTGGCACAAAACCCCCAAATTTTCGAGGGAAATGGTCATTAGATTATAAGGAAAACCCCGGAAATTCCCCAAAACTGGGAGGTTGGGAATCATTTTCATGTTTCGTTTGTCATCACGATTCAGATTGTTTTCTATAATAATACATTTCCAAATGTTGAAAAATAGTGTAACTAGTCGTAATATGTATTTTCGTAGTGTCATAATCGGTTTTAGACATGACAGTGCTTCCAAGTTGTCTGTCAGACAGAAATGTGCTCAAAGCACTTTGAAACCCAATGGATAAACTCCTCAAAGTAAACACTGTTACATAACCACCTCTTCGCCTTCCCATATCAGCAAAAAAGTGTGTGCACACCATTTCTCTCCGTTGATAACAGTGAAAGCAGTCGCAGAACAGTGCGATGGTGTGGTCATGTCTAGGGAATTACCCCAGCCGTCAGCATACGAATGATATTGTGCTGCTGTAGAGTAACGTTACCCAAGTAATGCCCAGTCAGACGACAATCGGCATTTATTAATATGCTACATAATCAACATTGAAAAAGACAGCATGTGGTTGAAGTCATCATCAATAATGAGTTCCAAAAAGATTCCCTGATTCCGAATATTTATATGAGCATTTGTACGAGCATCTCTGCATCGGATTTGTCGAACACAACCTTCCATAACTAAGAGTTCGCTGTTCCTGCTTCAGATGGTTGTTATCTGCCAATTATTGGTTCCACTGTTATGTAAGTAATTGTAAGATTCAGAAATATTTGCATGTCTGAATTTACAGGCTTTACTATCTTTTAACACCATTTCCATTTAACTTGAGACCCTTTTTACACATTCCTCTGGTGGGTTGCGTCCCATGAACTATTCTTCGACTGAGTGAAAGAAACAATGTCAGTTTGTGACGTATGGGGTTTTAGTGAATGATAGTTCTGATAGGTTTACAGTTAGAGGTACATGTAACCTTGCATAGACCCATGAATACTATAGAACCCTGACCATAGCCCAAAATAAAAGCTACCAGTGGTCTTACCTACACTTTCTGTTTTGTTCTTCCTAAGTGGTATGAAGTACTTTTAGAAGGTGAGACATACCATGGTTGTGTTCCTAGTTGGTTTGTATCCTTTAATATTCGTTGCTTTTGCTTGTACTATATGATTATTTAATTCATAATGTTTTATAACACCTTTATTGCCACAGTGCTTTATATGGGAATCAACTTTAATGCTCTGTGGCACCTAACATGTGTTACTAGTGTACTAATTATTAGAGCCAATGATAACTATCTTCTAGATTTCTAAGCTTCGAAATGAATTGCTTCAATTCATCACAATGGCCATCAGGTTAAGTAAATGATTATATTCTTTATCAAAAAGACAAACTATTAGCATAAGTAGAATAACTCTTAATAGTCTACTTCTTTCTTAAGTATGTGCTAATGTTTTCTGCAAAAATGATGGCCTTCAAATGCCTTGGTACGGCCGAGAGTGGGGAGAGTCCACTCTCCCTCTCCAAATGGCCACGCGTATATAGCCTCTGCCAGGGAAGTCTTACTCATTGCCTTCTCGTGGCGGGGATGTTGTTTACGAAATTGAGAGGACGAAAAGTGAATGTCCGACGCCTTAACCAGGTTGGTGGACACAGAGAGTCCACCTAGGGGAGTTGGAAAACCTTAATTCCAAACCAATGTTGCACATGGGTTCCAGTATCCTGAGAGGACAAATCGCGCATGTGGCATCCGAACATTAAAAGCTCCAATATACAATTTACAGTGTAATTTCAGTAGACCAAAATTGGTATTTCATGGGTTCGAATAATAAATGACAATTGTAAAACAAATCAGATTTTCAAGACTACTGGTGATCATATTGTTACTAAGAACAGAGGAAAATGTGAAGTGCTGATAAATAGCTAGTTACATTCGCGCTTTTAGAAGTACGCACGAAACTAATCCTTTACAACTAATCGCATTGTAGAAGCCTGTATTCTGGATGGTAAATAAAAACGTACATGACCTCAAAGCCCAAAGTATATCTATCTGAGGTTATCATGCGCTGTAATTCTTGAAATGGTGGTAGTTTTAGGGTTCACAACTTGAATTTATATAGGAAAAAGGATTCTAGTCTTGGAATAGTGTTTTTCTAACCTCCCACACTGCTGAGTCAACATGGACAGAGGTAGTTATCGCCCGATAGGGACACTTCACTATTATCACATTTCACCAGTCGCATTCTACAGTCGCCAGTATGACCCCTTAAATTGTGTCTCAATACTACTTGTTTTTTTATTCTGACAGTAACGAGTTCCCTTGGTTTACAAACTAACCATTTTAACCAACATTATTCGACCGATATTTTTAAAATAATCAATTGATATCTCTATCGTTGCTTGCACGTGTAAGCTGATTTCTTCTCATATAGGGAACTGGTATACGTCTATCAGTTCTGTCAGAAGTACTGCGAAGCATAGTCGATTTGGCAACTGTAAATCTCGGTCCATCATAGCTTTTTAGGGTTGGAAACTAGTCTCGAATAGATTTAAAAAGTTCAATGCGACCTTGTGAAAATTCAGGCACTGTGTTACACACTATTTTTATCTAGAAGCCTGGTAACTCAGTTTTCATTGGATGTTGTGGGATTCACACCGATAACCTTGTTAAATGTCGGAGGCATAAATCTTTATCACAATGGAGTAGTAGAAGTTATTTTAAAGGTAAGTGTACTTTAATAGCTTACTTCATAGTACTCCATTGTTCCACTTAACATTCATGCCATTTTCGACTTTGTCGGATGCATTCTATTAATAGAGGTTTATCTTTGTTTTCTAGTCATTGTTAAAGCTAGTAATGGGCCGCGATATGTTGTTGGTTGTCGACGCAGTTTACAAAGCAGTAAATTAAAGCCAGGCACTAGAGTTGCATTGGACATGACGACATTGACAATTATGCGCCAATTACCACGCGAAGTGGACCCACTAGTCCATAATATGTCTGCAGAAGATCCAGGTTCTGTATCTTATGCTTCCGTTGGTGGTCTGGCTGATCAAATCCGTGAACTCAGAGAAGTAATTGAACTCCCGCTTATGAATCCAGAATTGTTCCATAGAGTTGGTATAACCCCTCCCAAAGGATGCCTTCTTTATGGTCCACCGGGGACTGGGAAAACTCTTCTAGCACGTGCTGTAGCATCACAACTTGATGTTAACTTTCTAAAGGTATTTTGGATTCTCCACTATTGGTTTGCACTATGTACTATGATTAATACCAGTTATGTCACTACAATCGATTCGAACTGTGATCACATGGAGTTAACTGAATCTATTATTACTATTCTTAATAATTTATTTTAAGTTACTCCTCTTTAAATGATGACTGAGTTAAAACTATAGATACAGAACAAAATCACTTCACTGCAATTAAAGTTGGGTCACTGAGTATCAGTCAGCTACAACGTAGGACCAGGCACATATGTGCATTGATCCAAGTTGCCATACCGCAGCACAACAAGATGAACACCGGATTCATAGCAGTTAATTCAGTGGTGGTAATATATAAAAGAAAGATTGAGTGTAAGGACATAGTACAGGAAGAGAGAATTAGTACGTAGAAAGATATGAAGCAATTTTAATCTCTTAGTTTAGTGAAATACAGAGAGTGTATACACCGACGCCATTGTGATCGATTGTGAGCCATGTCACACAATCTCCAACCATTGGTTACGATGGTCACGCGGACCCAAACTAAGTAGTCTGCGTCTACCAACATAACTCATACCAAAAGTTAGTGACTCTGTGGACTAATGCCCAACACCGGTTAGCATTGCACGTCGTGGTAGTCGGTGCTCAGGCATACGCATACGACGAAAATTCACAATTTCATCGACTGATTTACCATCATTCCCTAATACCCTGTCTAACCTCACTATTACTAAACCGGTGATTCCAGCAAATGTGAGCATTATTTCTTAGGTATCTGTGGTCAAATACTACTAGCTTACAAATATCTCCTACTCTTAATGACCACGTTCCTCAACCATAAAGTAAAACAGAACGAACTGCCGCGCAGTATACTCGTCCCTCAATTGACAGACAAATATCTCGTCTTCGCCATAGGTGACGTAAGTTGGCAAAAGCCAAATGAGATTTTTGAATCGGTGCTGAGATTTCGTCAGACACCAACCCATTAGGGCTGATCATACTTCCAAGAAAAGTGGAGTTGTCAACGCGTTTGACTACTTCACTCCCTATTCTTAGTTCAGGCGTTGACGCAGATCAGTCCTGAAGTAACAACTTGCATTTAGAGGGGAGAAACGCATCCCAAACATTCTGGCATTATTGCTCGGTCACTGAGTATTGATGACTCAGAACGTTATTGATATTAAAAAAAGTTGCACAAAGTTGTGATTACAGAAACAATGGTTTTGACGTAGTTCAACTTTTAGGTTATCTAGTAACATCAACAATTATGTTGGTATAATACAAATGTTAACTCATGTAATTCTGTCGATAGAGACGTTTTATTTCGTCTGGAATTGTGATAACCTAATTATAACTGATCAGCCAGTCTTAATCAGCATTGGACCTAGCACAAATCTTCCTCAGCCCACTTTATCACACATCAGCACTGCGAAATAAGATGGAAAAGTAAATACTGAGGCATTATAAGTATAAATGATAGTGAATAAGATTACACAGAATATGATTTGAGAAAAACTGAGGTGCCGGAATAAATAGCATAGAACAATTTTGAAGCTTAGAATCTGATGCTAGATAAGATGTGAATGCATATATTTGCATCATTCCGGTCGAGTTTGATCAAGCTGTTCAATGTCTCCAACTATTGGTAACTATAATCATAAGAAATCCAACCATTTAGTTTCCATCACTGACTTTATACATGAGCGTAGTTTCTTACGTTGGCCGCTCTTAGTTTCTGTCCAACTTACTACGGTAGTCGAAATTTCGCACTGGTAGTAATTAATTAGTTAGCCATCGTTATCTATATTTGATATCGTCGTGATTGTATTACACTACCACATATGCACTCAATCATCTTTCATTCAACTCTAAAAATAGAATTACCCCCAGTTTAATACGTTTCTTTTGGTTTTTCATCAATATTTATATGATTATTATTTACTCCTTTGTTATCTTCTCGTTAGTTTAATTAAAGTATGATGTACAATTGTTATAAGTTATCTATTTATTAGTGTAAATAAACTCAAAATCTAAGTCAAAGGATCTCTGGCGATAGTCTAGCATCATAGAACATACAGGACATATTATGATTTTGTGCCATATATATTTAAGGGTAACCTTTTCTGCGTTGAGCTATTGAATTTTGACGAATGACCAACTTATAAGAGTAGAAATTTCGCCTCCAAATGCCCTGGTACGGCCGATATTGGGAAAAGTCAGCTCTCCTTCTCGAAATGCTCTCACATGGTCATGTGCATACAACCACTGCCAGGGAATTCCTACTCACCGCCTTCTCGTGGTGGGGGTGTTTACGAAATTGAGAGGACGATAAGTAAATGTCCGGTGCTTCAGCCGGGTTGGTGGATATGGAGGATCCACATAGGGGAGTTGGAAATTCATAATTCCAAACCAGTGACGTACATGGACTCCAGGATCCTGAGAGAACACATGGCGTACGAACTTATTGTTGGTCACCGGCTACCATGAAACTTGACCTTACGTTGCTCTACTGCCTTGTAGGTTAGACCCCCAAGACAAATGCTCGGGTTGTGGCCCCCCCTCCGAGAAATTCGACCACAACCATCCTAAAAATTCTTAAATTCTTTATTTTTAAATTTTTGCCTGCCTTCAGTATCTCAAGTCTCAAATTCTTGATGGGTTGTTCTCAAGTTTGCCACTGAATTCCCGGTTAATAGCCACACTTTTTCTACTATAAACAAATTCTTCGACTAAAGCTGCAATAAAACTTCGTTTTTCCAATAGCTCAGAGCTTAGTTAAAAAGCTATTCATAGGACCGTGCGCTTTTCCGTTGTCTGTGTTTTTTTGTAGTCCAGCTAACACATAAGGTTTCCTACACAATAGATTTACAACTAATCTAACGGAAACTTCGTTTTTTAAAATTAAATCGTACACAGGTTGTATCCAGTGGTATTGTTGACAAGTATATTGGTGAGTCAGCTCGTCTTATTCGAGAAATGTTCAATTATGCACGAGATCATCAACCCTGCATTATTTTTATGGATGAGATTGATGCAATCGGCGGTCGTCGTTTCACTGAAGGTACAAGTGCTGATCGTGAAATTCAACGTACTTTAATGGAATTATTAAATCAGATGGATGGTTTTGATGCACTTGGTCAGGTAACTATTGATATTTTCTGTTTCTGAAAAGCTGTTCATCTCTAATTTATTTTCTAAAGTATGTATTATAAGGTTACTTTTTATCAGTTTATGTTAAAATCGTTGTATTCACTGGTAAATATACATTGTTCTTAAGGGTGGGTTAAATGTTATTATTTCCTAGAGTAAGTATTCTTAATTGAATTCTTCATGAATTACCGAAAAAATCCTTTCACCAACTTTAAAATGACATTGACTTCCCACAGAATTTGGTTTACCATTAAAAGGGCATTGAATGGCTGTTTTATCTTCTCATGAAATTCCTCAGCATCGTTGACTCGCTAACCTGTCAGTAATCAAACTCAGAAGCTTATGGAAAGCGCGTTACAGCTAGGCGACCGAGTTAAAATCTAATGGTGTACATTTCAAACTGTAGTCAATTCTCAATATTGCCATAGGTCATACTGTGGTGTATGCGACTTATGTTTACAGATATAAGCAGTATGTAATACCAGTCTGAAGTAGAATGTCTGCGAGCAAAAGGTAAAGGTTGGGAAGATTGAAGTGAAGAGAAAAGAGAAGGAAACTGAGAGCAATCAAGATAACAAAAGTAGTGAAAGAACAATGAAGCTTGTGAGAGATAATTCAGAGATGTGCGAATGATGTATTTGTTGTATGATTTTCACATTTTGCTAAACCACTGTGTGTCTGTGCATTAAGAAAATAAATTAATCTTCCACACTTGGCTTATACGTTCACTACAATACTTGTTTCGCTCTCGGCATAGTTAAACTTCACTGGTCACATATTCTCACTTTCATCATACTGGAGTGAAAAACAAAAGTCACCTACATATGTTAAATCCTTTATCATAATTTCTTAGGCATGAATTTCATGCTCTTTAGCACATATCGGTAAGAAGTATTTATAACTTAAAAAGCCTCAATATTGTTAGAGTTTTAAATCTCTTGTCAATTCCATAGGCTGTTATTGATTGACTAAGGATATATTATAGTTACTAATTTCATCGACTAAAATACTGTAATGGTAACCATAAAGATGTATTACAAAATGTCGACTATCTCTACGATCTAACTGAATTCGGTATACTGCTTTACTTATTTGTGCGATTCTATTTCATTTACGATCACAGGTTAAAATGATCATGGCAACTAATCGTCCGGATACCCTTGACCCGGCTCTACTTAGACCTGGACGTTTAGATCGTAAAATTGGTAAGCTTCTATCCTTTGTCATAATTTATTTTCTTAGAAATTCCTCTGCCTAATGAACAAGCTCGAATGGATGTACTAAAGATACATGCAGCTCCAATAGCCAAACATGGTGAAATAGGTAAAGTGTCATTTTCTTGATTTCTCGTTCTTGTGTTGTTTATATTAATTCTCTATTTGTCAAATTATAAAAAATACTCTAGATTATGCAATAAATACCTATATATTTCCTTATCCTTACTGTGCTTATAACTAGAGAGAGTTTTCTGATTGGTTACGAAATCGCTCAAGGTACTTTTGTCAATACCAGTTAATTATAGATAGTATAGTTATGATATACAAATTTCACAATAGGTATTACTCCAGGAGTATTAACATGGTACTTTTTGACTGCCATTCAAATATCACTGAGTTTAACCTCGAGACATGATAATTGTAAGTGAAATACCTAACCTATTGAAGTTAGTTGATTATTATAGTACGTTCTGGTGGTCCATTGATATCAATTAGTGTCATCAATTTTGCTTTAATTTAACCAAGTCTGATTAGCTAATACGTGTAGATAACACTCAAAGACACAAAAGATTAGTTACTGTTATAACGCTCGGTTTTCTACGTCTACACGAATATCTACATTAGATTCCTTCCCAGTGTCTATTCTACAGGACTTCAACACAACTCAGATCAAGAGCACGTGATTAGCCTAACTAGTACGTAAGTATATTTCCACACCAAAAAACTGGCAACTGAATATATAACTCATCTAACGCCTATCAAACCATTTACAAGTCTGACTAAGCAAACAACCAATCATTATCTTTCTCGCTCACACAGTTACTGATTTACTAACTCAATTTAAACTTCTAGTCCAAGGTTATTCTCCATACCTGTTTTACGTGAATCTAACTTTACTGCATAAATCTTTAAATAAAAACGAAACCAAATTAAAAAATAATAATATGAAGTCCATTTCACACAGCATCACATAAACACCGAATAGAGAGTACTAGAATGTGCATCATGAAAACGAAAAACAAAAAAAGGGTAATGGCTAGCAATGGAATCGAGGACACGCGTTTCGTCCCATTTGGGACTCGTCGGCTGGATGTACCCGCATCCCAGAGTTGGTGTTCACTCCTGGGTTCGAACTCATTACTGTTCACTTCGAACGCCATCGCGTTATCCACTTAGCTTATACAATGAGGTGGAGTTTAAATTCACTTGGTGTTGTTTTACTTGTATCTTCCCAGTGTTATTTAGGACTGTAATTGATCGATCTCATGTTCGCGTATGTGCATCCTGTGCGGATTGCCTCGATTTAGTCTTAAAAACAGAAAATATTATCGCAAAACAAAATAAGGATAATCATATTCTAAAATTAGAAATAGGAAGTAGTGCAGAAATATAGTGCAAGTATAAACAAGAAATCAATTTAAGTTTTATTCAGTTAGTAGAGTGTATTGTATGACTATGAAAAGTATAATATAGATGTCAATGGCTTTGCACCAGATTAATAACATATTTTAAACTTATCATATTCTGTCTCTCGCAAACAATCTAGTCATTTTCCCTATTCATAATGATAATCTGCGGCCCGGATAGCTCAGTGGTAACACAGCATCGAGTCCGCCATGGAACACCAATTTCCTCATAATTACAGGTACACCTTGCTGACGAGTGCCAAGTAGCACAAAGCCCGAGTCCAGGGTTTCCTGTCGACTACCTCCAACCACCATCTAATGATAATCTGTTTTTATATACTTTATTTGAGGCAATGATCAACTATTCAACATCTAAATTTCTTTATTGGTGAAATAAGTTAGTACTTTCAAGATTCTCATATGTTATCTAATTGAATGACATAATTTTTGTATTGTAAAAACATGTGCAATCACATTACATCTACAATAATATTGTATAATATAAATTTAAATATTTTGTTTGTTTACCAACTATTAACTTACGTAATTTATTCTATAGATTGGGAAGCAGTTGTTAAACTATCTGATGGATTCAATGGAGCTGATCTACGTAACGTTTGCACAGAAGCTGGTAAGTTTTAGAGTAATTATGCTGTCGCTTACCTTTCTTAACAGTTTTTGAATATACTAATTGTTATTTAGTAGGATCATTAGAGCTGATTTATTATAGCATTTAGTAAAGTATGAATAAAACAAAACCTTGTGTATTAGTTAATGAATAAGGCAAATTTAACAGGATTTCAATTCGTATTCATCTTGAATTGATGAAGAACAGTTGCAGTCCAGATGGTTGCTTTTGATTTAATTGCGAAGCTTTCATCGTCATTATGAGAAAAATCTTCAGCGCTTATGTCATGTTACTTACTTACTTACGCCTGTTACTCCTCGTGAAGGAGCATAGGCCGCTCACCAGCTTATGTTATGTAGGATTCGTATTCACCGTACATTTAGTAAGGAGACACATTCAAAGCAGCTGACGAGAAACCTCGAAATATTATGGATTCATACTATTCTGCACCAATATTTGTTCTTGTTTTATTTAAATTCATAAAGGGAACCAATTGCATGAAATTTCCAATAGATGTGACTGCATACGATTTACAAATTATATATATTCGTGCATTTTATTCGGTCGCCCAACATACTTTCTCGCTCAAGTAGTCAGTTGTAGGATTAGCGCGTAGCACATCGTGTATTAGTATCAGTTTTCGGACATCACCCGTCACAATAATTAGAGTTGAGGTTATTCTCCATAATTTAATCCTGTAGACTCTAATTGCCACTATATGGGGAAAAATGTTTGGAGAAAGTCTAGATACCCACTACAAACTTCAAACTCTCAGACTACCTATTCATATACAAATAATACGTCACTAATAAGTGTACACTGTACTTATCCCATCTTTCGTTTTGCTTATAATGACATTTTTCAAAATCCTGTTCTCTACTGTCTTCGACTGCTATATCGCGTATCTATTGTTGAGTTTAATTAATTAGCTCAACCATTCCTTACCTTTTTTTTTAAATAATTTTCAATTGTGTCAGTCTAACATAGTACCAGAGCTTTCATTTCTCAAATGTTATTTAACCTTCCTTTTTTTGGTCAATATATAGGTATGTTTGCTATACGTGCAGAGCGAGATTATACAATAGAAGAGGACTTTATGAAAGCTGTACGAAAAATAGCCGATGCTAAGAAATTAGAAACAAAATTAGACTATAAACCAGTCTAAATATAGGGATATATTATTTTGCATGCACATTGCTAACATATAAGAAGTTATTCAACAAGTATTGATTTTCAATAAAACAAACTTTGTTTTATTAATCAACCTATTAAAGTGTTTAACCAATAATTACTTGTATATTTCAGTTGTTATGTTTTATATAGTACAAGGTGAAATAGAATATGTAATTTACTAGTCATAATTTCATTATTTTCGATCTAGATAGTGTAATCAAGTCGTATTGACTAATTAGGACTTCGTCAGACAGTTTAAATGGTATTTAATATATTTTCCTTGCAGTGGAATGTTCCTGTGAGAATGACTAAATTAGAATTGTGTACAAATATCCCATCCAATGTTGTGCTGAACTGATATGTTCAATAGACACAATGACTAGTCAAGATTACATAATATCTTTAAAATTTGTAAAGATATAGTAATCATTCAGAAGTACATCTACTGTTGCTGTAGTGTGTGCTACTTATGTCAACGTATGTAGTTGCTATGTTTGAAGCGATTACGAGTTCACCTAATCTGAGAACGGAACGAAGACTCTGTGATACAATGACAGATAAGCCAGCTATTCTGACGCGTCGCGTCTCAGTCTCGCTAATTAAAGAAAAACGCTTAAGTTCGGAAAAGGAAAATATATTCCACAAGCAGCCAAAAGCACGAGCATTAAAAACAGGTACAAATCAAAGTATATATACAGCATAAGATTGTCCTTGGGATGCGTTACAAAATAGCATACCAAAAAATACAACGAACTAATAGCGTTTAAGATCCTCCCGAGTGGGAAATACGACATGAAGGTAGAAATGTGCTATAACTGTGACGGCAGATTTGAGGGTAGCGAATTATCGATCGGACCAAAGACTCACAAACACGTAGAACGACCTAGGGTCCTGATTGGTCCCGCTTCCCTATCTAGCCCAGCAGTTGAGTCCAGAACGCAAATCTCAGCCTCGGATATATGAATCATTATATTTCAAACATACTTTGTTTATATACCAGTCAAGCAGACCACATCGTACGATAAAATAGAAAATAACATTGTACAATATTAACCAGTAGGGAAATGACACGTGAAATAAGTACTGACCAATAAGTAAATAATACCATCTCCAAGTCCAAGAATAACATTAAACTTAATAGAATAGTTTCTGGGATATTTTCCTCAATATCCCAACAAATGAGCACTTTTGGCGCGAAAACAATAAATCCAAAGTTTTTAAATTAAATTACGGAAATAAGACATTTACCAAGTGAGTTCTGGGGATCTAACATCCCCAACAGTAGTATGTAACGCTAGTCAGGAATAGAATGTCTGCCAGAAGAAGGTTAAGAGAAGAACAGGAACAGAAAGCAATTAGTATGGAAATGCAGGAACAGTGAAGTCTGAAACAATTAATAGACATTTTGCTAATGAAGTATTGGAGTATGGTTTTTCTATTTTATCAAGTAACTCTGTAGTTTTGTACTAAATATAATCGTGTGGGAGGCCCGTGATCTGACTCCATTCAAAGTGTATGAATGTTTGCTATCGCCTATTCTCGTATATCATTGTCGACTTAGATCGCGTTATCCAATAACGGAATTAAATAAGTCGAATAACGAGAATTGACTTGACAATACATATATTTCGTACATGGAGCGAATGAAACAGAGCCAAACAAAATGACGCACAGGGAAGATGGCTGGGAAGCCAACTCCATTTTAGTCAAGAGTTACTCCATATTTATAGGCAGACAGAATAAAGCTACAGACATGTGATTAATGCGATAAGAAGGGCACACACATATACGCTCATATAAAAACAGTCAGGACTGATAAGCGAATAATTAACAAGGTCAAAATATGACTCAAGTAAAATGAATTAAATAGGATGTCCACAAGTTAGAATAAGGTAGATGGGCTTGCCATAATAACTGACGCTACATAGCCCCCTTGTAGAAAATAGCACATTTAAAAAATGTCTGTTTTCGAAAATAACACTGAAGTGATATGAAGTTAACGTTAGCAACAAGTAGCGAAAAAAATTGTACAACATTCGATAAAGTACAGTAATGTCACATGAGCGGTGAGTGTATTATATGAAAATGTCATATTTATGTAAAATAATACATGAATATAGAAAAGGCGCGGACAAAAATGGGAACGTTAACATGCGAATATGAGCAATTTAATGAGCGTACAAAAATTAACATCTAATAATGCTGTGACTGTCTGAACAATAAAATAACACGTTCATATGAGCGATTCAAAATATCGTGAAAATAGTAATAAATTGTTTGTGGGTATGACAGCAAAATAAATCGTAAAAATAAGTAAAATATAATACGACAGAAATTGGTCTGTGATGCCGATAGAATAGTGAAATATGTCAAATATATGTTCTGTTGAGCCGCAGTAGAATAGGTAGCATCGACTAGTGATGAGTGAATTCGAATTTAAATGCGTAGTTCCCGTTCGTAGAATAATAATAGTCAAGTCGTGAAATGATAACTGCATTGACGGGTGATATTCGTTGCTGTACTGCAATTGATAATAATCATAAAATGTGAAGTCAGTGAATGTTGTCGTCTGCGTTATGACAGATGCATTGAGTTATCGTTAAATATGTATTAGTAGAATGACCAGAGGAACAGAATAGTGACTGAGTAGACGAAGTACGTAGAGTCTTATTCCTTTTTGGTCATGAAGCCTAGAATGGTTTGTGTGGTTTGAGGGAGATGCGCTCGATCTCGTTTGTTACAAAACCGTACCAAGGCATGACAAAAATACCAATACATATGATTAGCGATGGCGACGTATGAGACTGACTTGGATGTGACGAACAAGAGTGTATCTTTGAGAGACTAGCTCTAAACTCTATGTTCTGATATACCGTGTGATGGGTATAGAATAGTAGTTGCAGTACTCGAATAACGTTTTTGGTTGATAAATGATGCGGCGTGCAGTTATGCATGTGAAAGAATAGATAAGATGAACGTAATGGTTTCTAATCAGCTAGTTAGATGCATCCACAGACATAATAGGAGGCGATGAAGAATGTGTGTTATGATAACATAAAATAATGACCTCGACTAAGTGAATGAATGTAATATTAGATCAAATGACATGAAAAAAAATGGAACGAACTCACTTAAAGCAGGAAAATTTCATGTTTTGAATAGTAAAAATATTCCAGTGAGTTTTGGATGTCATAAAGTGGAGTGTTCATAAAATGATAATCTGTTCGGTGAGCAATATGATTGCGAAAATGTCATAATTTAATGACAGCATGAACATGATTATTAATTCCACATTCGGTTATGATATTGAGAATAATGTAATAATAAGCATATAATGATACTTCGGATCATGATGGAGCAAACCGACGAATGGATCAATGAGAATAGTTGACATGAGGACAAAGTATCGATAAGATAATACGACTTGAGCATGTTCATGTCATGTTGCACAGGCTTTGATAATTGCGTCGGATTGGAGATTGTGCTGGCTTCGCTGAATTTGTTCGCCGAACGTATAGAGTGCAGAAGTTCCTTCATCGACGTAGGTTGCTGCGTTGCGTTCGTCGTCGGCGGGCTCACCAATGTGGCGGCCCGTGATCTGACTCCATTCAGAGTGTATAAGTGTTTGCTATCACCTATTCTCGTATATCATTGTCGACTTAGATCGCGTTATCCAATAACGGAATTAAATAAGTCGAATAACGAGAATTGACTTGACAATACATATATTTCGTACATGGAGCGAATGAAACAGAGCCAAACAAAATGACGCACAGGGAAGATGGCTGGGAAGCCAACTCCATTTTAGTCAAGAGTTACTCCATATTTATAGGCAGACAGAATAAAGCTACAGACATGTGATTAATGCGATAAGAAGGGCACACACATATACGCTCATATAAAAACAGTCAGGACTGATAAGCGAATAATTAACAAGGTCAAAATATGACTCAAGTAAAATGAATTAAATAGGATGTCCACAAGTTAGAATAAGGTAGATGGGCTTGCCATAATAACTGACGCTACAATCGGTCCTCCCCTGTGCTGACTACATTTGCTATCGCTGCCTTCACTAAGAATGAAGATTCCTTGCCGAATGAATTTGAGAACGGAGATGTGTTGAGCTTTATGGAGGAGTTTGAAGCCATAGTGGAGCTGATGGGAGTGAAAGAGCCTAAGGCGGAGATGGTGGTGTTGGGGACGCTGCTAAGGGACAGGGTGAAGGTTGTATATGACAGCTTGGGCGGTTCTGGCAGAAGAATGACGTCGGAGACAGTCACAAAGCGGTTGATCCCGGAGATCGACAGCCCAGTAGACAGAGAAGAAGCACTGCAGAAGTTCCAGCTGGCGAAGTTGTCAATCGATTGTGACCCATTGGTGCTGGTTGTGAAGCTTACCAGGTTGTTACACCGCGCGCTGCCGAATCTGGATGAGGAGTCGGAGGCACAGTTGTTGGCGTCGCAATTTATTGAGAACATGCCGACCACCGTTTTCCAGCAGCTCAGACTAGTAAACGCCGCACGACCTATGGATATCAGTGAACTGGTGGTGACCCGAACAGGAGCTCCGGTTGGGTGTGGAAAGCAGGAGATAAATAATGTCAAGAAGAAGATTGAGGAGCTGCAGCCTGATGTTGCGGTAATACGAGTGAATCATAAAAGGAATGATAAATGTTACGCTTGTGGAGGGACAGGACATTGGAAGATAAACTGCCTAATAAGACGCAGATATTTTAAACATTATAACGCGTGTTCTTTCTACTCTATGAATCGGGTTTGTTGCATTAGTAGATAGAGGGGCAGTCTACACAGGAGTGAACATAAATAAAGGAGATTTAGTGTGTTTGATCGATATAGGGGCAGCAGTATCGTTAATAGGCAAAGAACAGTGTAAGAGACTCAAGACATGTACATTAACAGTTTACACCATAGGAGGACACTTGTTAGGTATGCCTAACAGTATCGTAAAAGTGGATGGTGCTGAGATAAATTTCCCGTTCGTAGTGACTAAAAGCCTATCGAGACCAATATTAAGAGCAGATTTCCTAAGAGAAGTAAAAGCAATAGTTGACTTAAGCGGTAGGATGGTCACAAAGTACGGTTTATTCCCAATATATGAAAGTAGCGAAGTGGCTAAGATAAGAGTGGCAACAGACGTTCCAACGAAGGGACCAAACGTTAGCGAGTTC